CCCTCCGCCTCTTGGGTTGATGAATTAGATATAGAAGAGGCAGCGCAATGATGAAAACCAAATTGTTCTCATGATCTCATGAAAGGGATGAATTTAACTCTCACCAAAAACGCAATTAAGGCGAAAAGTCATCTGTCTGCTTGAAGTAAGAATCTACCGTAAAATTAAGGAAATATTGACTTTATGAATGTTTTCAGGCTTCTATTGTCCTCAAGACCAACTCTGTATCATACCATGTCCAAAGGGAGCATACTGTGTCAGGGATAAAATAGTTAACGCGGGGGTAAGTTTTTCATGATTTTATTTAACACAGAGTGGGAGAAGCGGTGGTCTAAAAGTTAGTGTGTTGACTCTGGGTCGAGAAGTTTGACACTGGCTGGGTCTCTGAGGAAAAGTGGTTTAATTTTACAGTGTCCTTACAACCCAGAGGTGTGAATGGGTACCGCGGCGAATTTTCTTAAGCTAAAATCAGTTTCCAGATAAAGGCAAAAACAGTTTCGACTTCTCCTCACTCGTGGGTGGTGCCTAGAGTTAACTGGGAGGGAGGGGGGGGGGGGTTGCCAAGGTGATCTTCCATAAAGTATTCATGCAAGCATACAAGAACTACAATGCTAATAAGGTTTAAGTCAACGTTTAATGAAACCAGTGTCACTTGAGGTTTTTTTAATGGTAGATTTACGCTACTAAATGCTCTGTTCTAAGTGACGATCTTTATGATTTCATATCCTTAATGGCAGAGCCCGTAGTATGCTCAGTTCATGATGAAAAAAATCATCTTATTTTCTAGAAAAAATCACCCCAATTGTGCCGCGAGAGTGGAAAATGCTGCAGTCCTTCTCAGTACATCCCTATCTTTGATTCTTCAAAGTATATTTGCCCTGGAGCCCAACTTCCAGTTCCCTGTCCTCCAGGCAACTATTGCCCAAACGTCACCATTCAAAAGACGTGTCCAAGTGGATATTTCTGTCGAAATGGAAGCGTGAAACCTCAAGAATGCCCGGTAAGAGTAACTAATCTTGTTGCATTGTCGGTAAAAATCACAGTGTTATTCGATAGTGTATATCCGAAGCATTTCCTGAGTGGTAACAGCCGTTACAGACAGATGCGAGATGAACGAGATTTTTAAGGCTATTTGTCCGTGTGAAATCCAAGTCCAAAACTATGAACATTGTGTATGTCTATGGAAATACTATAAGCTCAGAATTATCTCACCTAATTTTTACTCCTTACTTCAAATATGAATATCGATAGCAAATGCTAAAACTGCAAAGAATACTAGATAATGCTCATAAAATGAATCCTTTTCATGAATGCTGTGCATTATATGGATTTAGTTCATTAACGAGGAAGAAATTGTTGCAAGTAGATTTAAGGAGGAACAAATTTGTGCCTTCTGTGGCTTTACAGCTAAACTATTTCAAGGCGCCAAACCCCTTTCTAAGTGAAGCTGACTTTGGCGAGATTGGTTCGGGGCAGTGAGCTGCAAATTTGCTGTCCACGTCGAAGTTGCAATACTTATCCCAGTTGCTTTTGCATCTGCGTGGAGCAGAAAGGGAATAAAGAATATCAATTCATCTTCTATCGTTTATTTACATTTTATGGCAGAAACATGTGGAAGATGCCATCCCTGTTGTTGCATGCACAACTCCTTGTTGGGCGCGGTCTTATTTTGGTCTATTTTCAGATTCTCTCTATATGCAAAAAAGGGTCTTCAGCTCCTGTCAGCGCTCCTGGTGGTGTTTTACTCATCTTTGCAATATTGCTGGTGATGCTGTTGCTTTTGCTTTGTTTCAACCACGAAGAAAAACTTATAGAATGGTGTGAACGTTATGTAACAAAGAGACTCTTCGCAAAGCGACGGTCAAGAATGGAAGAGGGTATCAGGAGGAACACTTTGGATAAATACCGAGAGGAGGCGGAGCCCAAGACACAAACCATCACCATTCGTTTTCAAAACCTTAGCCTCTCTCTTAAAAAGGTAACTAGCTGGTTGTGCGATGGGAGAGGGGAGGGAAGGAGGTATTTTGTTATCAATCTCCAAGTAACGGTC